TTATTTAAAAAATATTTGAAATATATTTTTAATATGATTGTATATAAATAAATATACATATAATAATACATTTTTACAGTATATAAGATACATAAATAATTATTGATTCATATTACATGTATGTAAATAAATTTTTGTTTATGATTATTTTTATAAATAATAATTTTGATATTTATAATATATTAAGAATTAAAGATTTAAGTGAAATAAAATTTTTTGCAAATTCAATTATTTGTAACAATGAACAACTGTGATCAAGGTTTCGATTGCTGTCTTCCCCTTTTTATACTTGAATACCGTGGGTCGATGTCACATGAAACTTTCAAACTCTAGCGACCTAATATATACTGTACTATTCTTATATATCGAAATAAATAAGAAGAATTTTATTTCTGGAGAAAAAAAGAAAAAAAAAATAATAAAATAAAAAATTAAATTTGACAATTAAATATAGAAAAATTCTCTTTTATTTTTTTTCATCTCTTTTTCATCTTTTATCTCCAATATAAATTTTTTTTCTTTCTATGAGTATGATACATGAAAATAAAAAAAAAAGAAACACAATAATTATATATTCAAAAATAAAATACATGAAGATATATCTGATTTAAAATTATTTGATTTTTCAAATATTAGATATGTATATTATAATTAACACATATAAGTAAAATACATTGTCTTTATTATGAACATGTTCCAGACATGGACCCGATTCTGTTTAGTTTTCGCGTGAAATTTTATCCACCGGATCCTCTAAGGCTGAAGGAAGAAATAACTAGGTATCAAGTTTACCAGCAGCTTAAGAGAGATCTTCTTCATGGACGACTATATTGCAGTCCAGGTGAAGCAGCGCTGCTGGCGGCGTGCATCGTGCAAAGTAAGTCTATTTCATTGCGCACAATTTTATATATTTTTATATTTTATATTTTATACAATTAAATATAAATTTTTATTTAACAAATAGTATTTTAATTGATATAAAGATCAATTAAAAATAAAAATTTAATATTTAAATTTATTTATATAATATTTAAATAATATTAAATATTTATTATATTATATTTTAATAATTTAACACTTTTAAATTATAGTTTTATAAATGCGTAATAGATATAGTTTTATAATCAAGATTTTAATGTTAATGATTTCTGTAATTTATTCAAATGGACATATAATAAATAAAAAATAATAGTTAATTAAAATTTTATAAAATTAAAAATGATAAAATTAATTTCTAAATAATAATAAATAATTTAATTAAATTTTAAGAAAGTATTAAATATTTAAAATTTAATGGATATTCTCAAGTTAATCATTAAAAAAACTTAATAAAATACTCATTAAAAAACTCAAATTTTAAAAAATAAAATTAAAATAAAAATATAGTTGATTGAAAAATAAAAAAATTTGTTAAATTAAAAAGGAAAAGAAAATTATAGAAACTATAACAATTAGAAGTAAAATGTAAAGTTTCAATTTATCTTCAATTAGAGAACAGTAGTTCTACTTTTAATTATAATACACAATATGATATTATCTTTGATGTTACTCTAGCATATTCCATTAAATATAAAAACATAAATATGTTTATATTTTAACAAGTTGTTGTTGAATATTTTAAATGCTTATAATATATTTATTCATTTTTTAAAATATCTTTTTATATTTTCTATTAATAAATCTATTAATAATTTTAATTTGAGTTTGAAAAATTTAAAGATCGATCAAAAATATATTGGCTTTCAACGATTTTAATAAATTTCATTATACTTTTAAAAAAGATCTTTACATTGTATTTAAGTTGTTTGAATTAGAAATTAAGATTATAATAATTAAAATAACATGTATTCATATATATATTTATTTATATAAAAAGTAAATAAATATATTTATAAATTATATATTTATTTATAAATAAAAATTTAAAAAATTATTTAATTTTTAATCTATAACTTATTATTATACATAATAATTGAAAAAAATCATAACAATAATTAATTTAATTAAATTTAATTTAATAATTTAAGTAAATTATTTAATAGTAAATTAGT